AAAATGTAAAACATTGAAAATAAATTCCAATCTATGAAACACTGACACTAAAACATGACACCGACACAAACACTTAGACCCCAATAATAATTTGAAAAAATAATAAGCTAAACATAACGACAAATGTCTGTCAGTTTTAGATACCAACACTGACACTGACACACTTTTTTCAGAGGTGTCGGAGCTACATAAATTTCAATAACAGAATGTGAAAGTCCATTTAAAAAACTGAAATATCTGATTAAATTAAAAAGCAACATATTGACTTTAATTAGCAAAAATAAATTACAGATTCATAGCCATATTAGGGAATGTAACAGTTCATTTGCTAGTGAAAATTATTTTTACAGAAACTTCTAAATTCCAATCATATTTAAAATCATAGTACTAATTAATATTCACAAATAAAGTAATTATAAAATCAATTATTAGAAGAAGGAACTACCTGTTTTTTCCTTGTTAATTTGAGATTTGTATCATCATGAACTAGTTTGAATTCAGTAGAAAATCCAGAGTTTGACTTCTTTGAATTTGAATAACAATTTCCCTTTCTGTTTACAAAGCTCTTTAACCTGTTAAAATTCCCAACACCAGAAACTTCATTCTCACCATTTTTATTTTTCTCGGCTTTACCAGCCGAACAAACCGATCCCATAATCGTTGAAAAACTAAAATCCTGCAAAAATTCAATTGAAATGAAAACAATAACTAACAGATTGACATGCACAAAAGAGTCGAAAGAGTTAGTTAGTAAGTTAGTTAGGATGAATATAGTGTACCTGTTAAATCAGTGTATAGAAGAGAGTATCGAAATCTTAAACCGAAATTCAGTTAAGAATTGAACACGAGTATTATATTTCAATTGGGATTTAATCTCACGAGTTTGACTAAAAGAGAACGAGAAAAATGTGAAGGATATTCGCACAGTTGAATATTGGAATTGGAATGATATTAAAATTAATAAAAGTAAACGTAGAAATTACAAAAAGAGACGCGGAAATGGAATTGAAAGGGGATTGAAATATGTGGTTATAGAAGTTTCGGGGCAAGAATCACGAGGACGACGAAGAAGCTATGGTAATTGACTCAAACGAAATAGTAATAGAGAGAAACGAAGACTGTTTCAATGATAGTAATTTTGTAGTACGTAGGCATGTCGCTATCTTGGACTAGGTAAATGAGAGAAAAAGAAACGTGAAAATGGACGTAGTTTTGGTGCCGCCCAATGCCTACTATGGACTTGTTTCGTTTGTTTTAGACTATGCTTTTCTTCTCAATACCATCATCACTTCATGTTTGGTACACATGATAAACATATTAATTCAAGAGAGGTGTCTTACAATCAACTGGAGTAAAACTCTTTACCAATTTAAAATTCAAAGTTTAAATTACATTTCAAGTTGAGGTTCGACTAGTTTCTCAAATTTCAATTCCAAAAGAAAAAAAGTTTGATTTTATGAGGAAATAAAGTTTGATTTTTTAAAAATGTTACACGAGACTTATTATTGCCGTTATTGAACAAAATGAATTGACTACTTTAAATACATAACATATATAACATATACGATATTCTATTAGACAAAATGTTTGATAATAAATAATAAATATAAGAATAAAATCTGACTAGTAGAGATGAGGATGTTACATCAAAATTATATAATAAAAAAAAAATAAGTTAGATGAAAACAAGTCAAATAATTAGAAGTAGATAACATCCATATAAGTGGCACTCTTGTCACAAAAATAGCAGTACCAATCAAATATAACAGGTATGTTCTCATATCATATGTTTTTTGTTGCGCAACCTGCTTGTCATCACCACAAGCCTGCTATGCTCTAAGTAGCTCATTTGTATACACCTTTTTCAAAAATTGAAACCTAGCATGAGCCCCTCGGATGGCTTCAAACTCCGTCGTAGTAACCTCTGGATTAACTCCCATATTGTCTACCATTAACTCCAGTGTCTCATCTCCGTTAATCTTTCCATGATCTAAAAGTTTTTTCTAATTTAGAATATACAACAAACGCGAGATATCTTCCAGTGTGATAGAAATCTCACCATGTGATAGATGAAAAGATGATGTCTATGTGTGTCATCTCTCTACAAACGCATTAAGCATACCATGGTTAACCATAACATAATCGGTCTTGCACAAGTTTATCATTCTAGATATGTACAAAACATCTTAAAACCACTACACATTAAGTTGGTAGAGGCCAGTAATCTTGCGACCATGGTTGATGAATTTTAGCAGAATATGGTATTACAGAAAAATAAATCATCGTCAGAAACTTTTAATACAAAAAGAAACATAATTTCTTTTTAATTAATCCAACTAATTTTACCTCTTTGTCTCATACATGTCTAGCAGTATGTCAAGATAAAGAGGCAACAGCGACAAGTCTGAAAGACCTCCTCTAAATCCATGTGATGCCTCTATTGCCTCCTGTGACTGGGGTGCCTCAGGTACCTCTGTTGTCTTCTAGGCATGGGTGCCTCAGGTTTCTTAGATATCTCTTCCATCTTTTGGGCTGAGGTGCCTCAGGTACTTTTAGTGTCCAAGGTACATTCGGTGACTCCGACATCGCTGCTAACCTAGACCCTATTACAAGTTTTTACATAAAAACCCTAACCATAGTTGTTATGAGAGGGATAAAAGATAGAAGAAACCATACTAGAGAATGTTGTGAATAAGGAAGAAACTTGTAGAAGGCTTAACTGACCAAAACAAAAAACAAAATTGACAAGTGTTTTTTTTGAAGATTACAATTTTCATTTTTTAAGTTATCACATTTATCGCACTTGTCAAGTTCATCATCTTCTCTTAAAGTGGAAGGATTTTGAACTCGGTCATTTTGTTTTCCTCTAAGGAAATCTATCTATTTTTTAAGAATTTTGTTTTTAAATTCAAGATAGGAGATATCATCTTTTAAGGCATAAATGATTTGCTCTAGTTTATTTGTTTCTTTTGTTAGTTTCTTGTAGATTCTAAAAAGATCATGATAGAAGAATTGAGAGGTTACGTCATTATCTTATCTTGATGGTTTGCTATAAGACAGATGTTGACTTTTTCTTCTTCATCGTCCGAGGATTTCATGTCGTTGTCTTCCCATGTGACATAAGCTTTCTTCTTTTTCTGAAATTTTTCTTAGTCTTTTTGAATAGGGGATCGTATGGTTTGATATTCCCTTTCTTTCCACAACTGTAGCATTTTGGAATGAATGATGTTTTCTCCTCGTCTTTTTCTCACCATTAGAATGAGATTCCTTAGCTTTAAGTTCTAAACATTTGTTTTTCTTTTCCCCTTCTTCATCTAAGGCATGCCTTCTTCATCTACATGTAGTTTACCAATGTGTGTGTGCCCATATGTTATAAATCCTTAGATTCACAAATCCCATTGACTTTAAGTTGCCAACTACTATTTAGACATTCTCATATAGAATTAAATGATGACCAATACCACTTACAAATTCTTCCTCATAAGCAAAGTTTCATTCAAATGCATTATTACAACCTTAAGTGAAAATAAATATTTTTAGAGAGAGAAAATAGAAAGATAAATTTCAAAGAAAATGTAAACCTTTAAAAAATGGTGTGAAATGAAGAGGAAATGATCTTCCTTTATATAGGAGTTGAAAAAATCATTAAAAATAATAATCCATGAGCATAATTAATGAGCTAATTGATTGGCATAATGTTCCAATAAATTGGCCAAATCATTTTTAATCAATTTGCATGCCCAAAAAGGAAAATTAGATATAATATTGTTGCAAGTCATTAAGATGATTTTCTAATCGTTTGATTAATCATTTGGCTCTTCTCCAATCGATTGGTTGGCTCATAAAAATTTTGTTGATCAATTGATATAAGTTACCAATGATTAGTTAGTTCAAAACATCTTTAAAAAAATATTAGACAGCTTCTTAATCATTTGATTTGTCTTTTGAAATTTTTATGTGTGTATGTGTGAGTGCGTTGGCAATAAATTTGTCCATAATATATCGCAACAAAGTATGTAATTTCACGATAAATCCTAGCCAACTACATGATAAGGCTTTAAAAATGACGGTATTAAAATATGAAACTAGCTAACCATGCTTCCTGTTGGTGTGACTGTTTGCGTTTGGACTTTTGAAATTCTTCTTATTCTCTCGTGCACATAGAGACATTGATATGATAGAGCTATATTCCCTGAATGTGTTGCTTCTTGTCCTATCCCTTTTCTAACTTTTCTTTTTCAACTTGATATCGGTGAACTAGGTTCAAAGTTCAGTATGGATAGACACTTTAGTTTTGCAGGCATAAAAAACTTTATCCTTCAGTCTCATAAATGAGGAGCTAGAAGAAGTTTTGGAGAAAGTAAGTGATTATTGTGTAGAAGACCATGTTGGAGTCCTCTTCTCATAATATTTTGGAAGGATAAAAAACCATCAATTGACAACTCATTATGAAAATTTTGAAATATGACGAAGAGAGCCCAAGTCAATGTATGCATGTGTCTTTAGCCACAATGAAAAAAACTTTTCTAAATTATGGATTGTGGAAAACATGATCATTCAACACTCTGAAGTTCGACATTAATTCCACAAAATATAATCAATTCAACACTCTGAAGTTCGACATTAATTCCACAAAATATAATCAATCAACAACATTTTGCACTAGATATTAATCAACGGTGCTTAAGAAATGCATTAAAACTATACAATATCAATTCAAAAATAGCACCTCAAATCAAACAGTAACTTTGTTTCAGGCAGCAACCGACTAGATCATGGTTTTAAGTCCCCATCAAATAAATTCAACCAATCCGTTGCTCCCTCTTCTCATTGTTAGAAGAACCAAAAATAAAAAGGAAAACAAAAAGGTAGTCACTAAGATACTACAAAGTATTTTAATTCTGCTTTAACAAAAGCATGGTAACAAACCATCAAAATTCATGAGACGGACACCATAAACCATCAAAACTTTGACAGTACTGATAGTATATTGATCTGCATTAATTCATCTTATTGATGAGCTCGTTGATGAGATCTTCACGGTCCCCTGAATCCCCACCATTCTTGAAGCGGTTTTTCAATCCTTTCAATCCATCTGCTGGCTTGTTCAGTTCAAAAGGCCACATAAACCTGACAACTTCCTTAAAGTGAGGACCAACATTCTCAATTTGATGCACAATGTCTTCTATGCAAACAATGCCAAACTTTCCTAATTCCTGCACCGCAAAAAGTGGAAGAATTTCAAAAACAATTAAGGTTATTATCGTATAGCATAAACAAAAGAAAACTAGTAATCTATAAATATCGTATACCATTACCTGCTCAATAAGGTTATTATCTGTCAAAGGAACTTTTCGCTTATCTAATTTCGCATTTCCTTTCTTGTAAATTAGCTCCTTTATGCTTTTAAGATTAGGATACCTTCAAAAGAAGCAGAGTTTCACACAATTAGGAATTATACACAAACAAAATATGAGGATAATGCAACATGAGCGAAGATACTAGAAAGCAGCAAAACCATCTTTTCTAAGAGAGTGGTATGCAAATGCATCATGTGTATGACATTCCTCTCAATACACTATTATAAGTAGTATGCATAAAAAGATTTAGCATTCTCCTTTCCTAAGTTAGTTGCAAGCTTCTGCTTTGCTTTTCAGTTTCAAAGAGAAATTTGGTTCTTTTGAGTTTTGAAACTGATTTCTTTCTCACAACTTAAACTTTGTGAAATAACAGCTTACACAAATGGTGCATTGGTTATTGATATATAGCAAATGTGGATTCAATGAAATATTGTATACATGAACAAAAACAAACTCGCACCGACACCTAGAGACACCGACAATTGTGACATTCAATTTATTAATTTTTTAAATTATTAGAGGTATTGACGTGCTAGTGTCGACGTCGTGACTGGTGTTCATGTTTGTGCTTCATAGTAAACAAGTAGTCTCAGATGCCCTAATCCTAAAAACTTTGAGGAACAAAAAATTGCAAGTTATCAAAGATTCAAGCGCTACACCTACAACACTATCATTACCTATAAATGCTGTTTCGATCAAATAAAACACAAAGTTTAAGACCATACTTGTCTTGTTCTATGATGGTTTTTTCTAATTCTGCTAAATAGGGTTCCTTACTCTTATAGGCATTGCAAATCTTTCTTGCTACAACTTCCTGCAAGTGATTTTATTTTTATTAAAAAGGATAGGTATCTTCTGTATTCAATATATATGTAAACTAGTGATCCAATTTGGAGTTACATTTACGAGTTTGCATTGATAGTTAAAGTATCCAGTACTGACATGTGAACAGTACTCAATACTCAGTTTTTCTCATTAGCCATTTCAACTGAAAATTGTGATTTAATTGTATGTACAGTTTATGACTTTGTTTGATGTTCTAATTTACCACAACTTTGACGTTGATCATGATGTTTTACTGTGAATTGAAGAAATTAGCTCTCTAATGGTACACGGTTCCATACTCACACCTAAGCATCATAGGCTATATTATATGAGACGGCAAGAGGATCGTCTTTGATATTTAAATAACTCATCCATATTCTTAACAACCCAAAAAATAGCAATTTGTTCAAATTCTGCTAAACTATCGCACTGCTATTCAACAACACTATAGCACCAATATTCAGCAACACTTCAAATTCCTCTATGCTACATCACAATATCCACCGGCAACACTTCAAATTCCTCTATGCTATCTATTCGACAACACTTCAAATTCTTCTATGCTATCTATTCGACAACACTTGAAGCCTAAAGCCTAAAATTAAATGAAAGTTACGCAAATCTAACATATCATAACATAAACTCATAATCAACCATCACAAACACAAACAATAAAACATAATGAACATTAACAAAAATCACTTACCCATAGGTAACATATGGTTCAACTCTAGCCAGCTTAGCCATGACTCCATCCGTTGGCTTCAAAAACACAGCACTGAAAATTCTCCTTAATCCCAAACTAAACAGGTGCTTCCTAGTAGTAGCATGCATATCTTGTTTTCTAAAAAACCAAAATAAAAACGTTGTTACCACAATCCCCAGAGACAAAAAAAAATCAAAACATGAAAAACGTAAAACTACAAACCCTTGTATACGAATGACTATAATGGGCTTATTGATTGTGGTAGTTTTTTCTGCACGTTTCCTCTTAACCCTACGTTTCATCCTAACGAGATCAATCTCTCTATTGCGAAATTCAAAGATGAAATCCTCAGGCTTTTTGATGAAGTCCTTGGATTTTCTGATTTGAAAACTTTTCTTCTTGAATTGATCCTTTTTTCTCAAAGCCCATGCTTCACTGTGTTTCCTCTTCTTCAATATAACCTCTGGAATATAGTTCAGAGCTTTAGGTTCTTCTTCAGCCATTTTTTCACTGCATTCATAAACACAGTTAGATAATTCAATTCGTAAGAAATTACAGTAGAAAAAAAGGATGGAGTGGCATACATGAATGAGAGAAGACGGAAGAAGGGATGCGATAGTGGCGGCTAGCTGTAGATGAAATGAGGAGAAGAGAAAGCTAGGGTTTATCTTAGTGGGCTTGGGCTTTATAAACAAATTAATTATAAACTATTTATAAAATCATTCTCGACACTTAATGTGAAACAGAGATATTTATATATGTTTGGATTCATATTGAGATTTTAAACATTCTTTTAATTAAAAGTATTTGTAAAATTCAAAACAAAAGAAATTTGTAGAATTGTAGAATTTTTTAAATTATTTTAAAGACTATTAATAACTTAAATATTTTAGTTAGATCGGTAAAACATCTTATATATAAAGTTATTAAAATAAGGGATAAATTTGTAATTTTATATATTTATTTAGATTTAATTTTGAGGATCATTTTGATCTTTTTACTTTAAAAAGGTTTATATTGTTTCTTTAACTTTTCAAAATATTTTATATTAGTCGCTTTTGTCTAGACGAATTTAGCGATCGATTTTTAAATTTTTCCGTCGATATTAAAACAAAATGATTAATATGAAACATTTTGATGAATTAAACGACTAATGTGAATCATTTTTAAAATAATGGATCAAAATAAATCTTAAAGTTAAGATTCGAAACAAAAAAAAAATGAAACCATTTATTTATTTAATTGTTTATTTATTACGATTCACCTCACTTATTTCACTGACTTCTTATATTTATTTTATTTTAACTTCTTTTAACTATGTATTTAATAAATATTAATTTTCTACCACTAACTTTTGAAAAATAACTATTTTTTCACTAGTTAAATTATTAAAATATTGATCATTTTATATAATTGTTCTATATAATTAATGTGTTGCAATATATTGGATTTTTTATCAGATTATCACCATTTTAAAATAAATGTATCAAAATGCCACTAGTTAAAAAATCACTTGAACGCCACAATTTTTGTATGGATTCGATCAACCTATGGACGACTCATTGAAGATGTTTCACACCATGCATATACTCGGTCGATGGTTGGCTGAGACATTGAAGATCCTTTTTTTCTTCTTTTTTTAATGTTTTATGGTTTATTTAAATAGGTTTTATTTTAGTTTTAAATATTTAAATGATTTTTTAAATTTTAAAATAACTTTTATATTTTAAATATTAATAAATAAATATTTTAATTAATATTATAATAATATTTTAAATAATATTTTATTTCTCTTATTATTTGAGTATACTAAGAAAATATATTTTTTAATTGTATTTAATTAAGTTTCTTATATTTAACATTTAATTAATAAATTAATTAATATTATTCTTCTATTAAATAAAATGTAACAAAAAGCTAATTTATTGATATTATTGAAAAGATAAGATACATCAAGTGGGTCTATGTAAATGACTGTTAGTTTCATATATTGTACTCTTTTTTGTGCGTTTTCCCCTACATAAGTCTTGGGTTTGATGTCTTGGATGAGATGGAGTAGAGTCAGAAGACAACTCTTCATCTTCATCTTGATGTGATGTATTGATAGCCATGTCCACATCAGCAACAGATAAATCTGGTCAATCCATGAGTTGATCATCAGTTAGGTTAATGTTTGGGATTGATTGGGATGGTGGGTAGAAGTTGGTTGGAGGGATATATTGAATGGGAGGATAATAAACATCTTCAGTGCGGTAGGTATAAATGGTTTGAGAGAGTGAAAGGTTAAATGGTTGTTATTGTGATTGGAGGTAAGAGTAATCAAAGTTAGTTTGAAGAATTTGAGTGAATTGTATGGATGGTCGAAGTGTGGTTTGTTGCTGATATTGTTGGTGGTAGTAGAAGTTAGCTTGGGGGTTGGGGGTATGGTGTTGGTTGTTGAGATGAGATGGCATAAAATATGTGTTGTTGTGTGGTTTGGGTGTGTTAATAAGTTTGTTGGGTTAGTAAGGATTAGGTGTATTGATATGTTGGTTGTGGTAGTGTGGCTTGGGTGTGATGGTATGTGTGTTGGTGGAATGAAGATGTTTGCGATTGGAAATATGATGGGTTCATTTGGGAGATTTCCTGATGCATGAACGGTGAGGTTGTATGTTATGATGAAGAAGAGGCATATTGACCAGGGTCGTCTAGGAACTGTGATTGAGAAGCATGCATAAATTGAATTGATAAAAATCATTGCATATACGCATTACTATGCACATAGTCATTGTTTACCATGTTTGCCTTCAAAGTCAAATTCTTCTATTTTTCCACTCGTTGTTCTCATCTTTATTCTGATTGCGTCAATGATCACCTCGTGTATTGGGCATTTCAGTTTCATGGTGTTCGCGTAGACATCTTGACTGAGTATGGATTTCTTGTTCATATCCAATATGAAATTTGACCCTATCAGCTTGATGCATTTCAACAATATAAAAATTGACGATTGATGTTGTCGTGCTCCAAATCTGGCTATCATCAAGAATGCAAGGTGGGTAGTTCGGGTATGGCCTCCAAATAAACTATTACACAAAATTTAATAGTTAGAGTACAAATACAGATCTTAACATCTATTTAGAGATTGTAATGGTAACAAACTTACATCGTTCGTCCTCAATCTATCTTGCGAATCTATATTCATGTAGGTGAAAACGAGAATTTTTTTGGTAAGTCCTTCCTCGTTGAACAAACCTTGCAATTTAGAAATAAAGAAATGTAATAAATTTATCGGCATAAATATATATGTGTATGAAAAAAAAGAAGGTCTAAATTATATTTACCTTTTTCCGTACGAATAAGATGGCACGACGAAACTCTCAGGAGCAATTAGTGGTATATGTCAATATGTTCAAACGCTGAGTAGGAGCATGCATCCTCTAATGTAGCTAAACAAGCAGAACCTCAATTATATCTATTACATTTATCTAAATCTCCTACAAGGGGTATCCAAGAAGAATGCAATAAGTTATGACTCTTGTCTGGCATTAAAACTTTTGCTATGAGTAGTAATATATAAATTTTTGCATGGAGAATGTTATCCTTTTCGGTTGGCACAACCTTTTGTTTTAATTATCCTAATATATTTTGTAAGCCAATCAATTTTAACAGAAGCTTTATGTTTATATGAAATCGAAGTATCTACACCTAAATGTTCCATATATACATCACTCGCTAGTTGATTAGAACCGTTAGTAGCCCTACCATTTACACGGACGCCAAATAACATACTTACATCCTCCAACGTTATGGTACATTCACCGGTTAAAAGATGAAAAGTATGTGTTTCCGGTCTCCATCTTTCTAACATATAAAGTACAAGTTTCAAATCAACCTTGATACTGCTTACTTTTGAAACATTTGCAAACCCGACTCATTCCAAATATGGTTTTATTACCGGACTTGGTGCATTGATAGAATGCGAATGAAGTCTCAACTTATCTTCGGCCTGTTTCAAATAGTAAAAAAATCAATATGATGTTCAACAAAAATAATGAAGTCTAATCATGTAATAATATTGTATAAATATAATTAAGTATGATATAAGCAACTTACGAATGCGTCAACATTTTCCAGTGTTTCCTAGTGATTTTCTACCATCCACAACATAACCATTTGAAATAAGTTGACTGATGAAAAATATATTTTGCAAAGTATTGATGAAGTAAGTTTAGTTGATGGTGAATATGAATGAAAAGCATGGTATTTATAGAGTTTAAAGCTGGGTGAAATTATGGGGTGCATACTATTACCCGTTGGTAAAACAATTGATGATACATAGCTGTTATTACTCTACATGCATTAGAAGTAGTTGCTGCTCTAGTCTTCATGCTATAACATCCAGTCTGCCAAGACAGGACAATGAAAATGTAGCAACTCGACCTTGCGAAAGACGAGTCATAGTGTGCCTTCATGGGGTCGTCCTTTCAATGGACGATGCATCACATTTGCTTCATTGGGTCATCCTTGAGCCATTTCTACAGCAGCATGGGGCCAGCCTTTGGTTGGCCGAGCCAAAAGATGATTGCACCCCATTATATTCATTCAACCTATATAGGCTGACACCCATCTTCCACAATCTATATCAACAATCCTTATTTTCAAAAAATTATTGTAACAATGGCAGAGAGAAATACACTGGTAACCATGCACTATAATGGTTCCATTTTCACCGATCAAAATGTCGGCTTGTCATTCAACAAAACAGAAGCAATGATGTTGAAACTTCATCACAATTTTGATCTTCATATGAAAGAACGCATCGAAAAAAAGGTGCAACGCTACGTTCTTGAAATCATTTACTGACAATCACTACTTAATGGATATGATGGTAGTGTATTTTACATAATGAAGCAGATAGATACCGACGATTCGATCAAATCAATTTTCTGGTGTCATTACACAGTTGCTCGTCTGAACATGATTAAGTTATATGTTCGCCTTGATGATGAAGCATATCCATGCAATCATTACATTCACATCAGTACAAAATGAGTCAAGCAACAGATGAAGAAATTACATAAAATAATGAACCTTTCATACCAAATGAAGAGGTTGGTGAATATAGTGAAGATGAACTACACGAGGTCCGTTTTAAAGATCTTTTCGGTGCTAGCGATGAAGTGGATCTCGTCCCCATGCCTTCTCAGGTAACAAATGTTCAACCTATTAATTTGTACAATCCACCAATGCACATGTCAAACATATGTCTAGAGACTTCTCAACCTATCTCTATTTTGGGAACTACACACCAAACCATATTGGTGACAACTTGGAAGTAGGGATGGAGTTTGAAAATAAGGAAGTGTGTGTTCTTTTTTTCCAACATTGGCATATAAGTAGCAATCTTGACTATAGAGTGTATAAATCTGATTCTGTAAGATATATAATCAAATGTAATAACCCACAATGCAATTTCACATGTAGAGCTGCCATGCGTAAGAAGATCTCAATATGGGAGATTGCT